AGGAAGTGAAGAAAAAATGTGAAAGAAATGAAGGGAAGGGAGGAAGGAAGGCAGAGTGGGGGGGGAGGAAGAAAGGGAAGAAAGAGTAAGAAAGGAAAGAATGAAGTATTGGAAGGAAGGAAGGGGAAGAGAAAAAAGAAAAAACGAAGAGAAAGAAAGAAAGAAAAGAAAGAAAGAAAAAAGAAAGAAAAAAGAAAGAAAGAAAGAAAAAAGAAAAAAAAAAAGAAAAAAAAAAAAAAAGAAAAAGAAAAAAAAGAAAAGAAGGATGAAAAGGGAAGAAATGACGGAAAAAGTGAAAGGGAAGATGAAGGAAAGAAAGTGAAAGGGAAGAAGTAGTCTGTATAAAAAAAAAAGAAGAAAGGAAAGTAAGGAATGGAGAGGAGGGAAGGTGGAGAAACAGAAGGAAAGATGGAACAAAGGAAAGGAGGGAGAAAGATAGGAAAAACAAAATTTGGGTCTAGTTCATCAAGGCGAAATCTGGGTCAGAGTGTGTGAGCCGCAGCAGCCTGAGAGTGCCATATGGCAGCTATATTATGCCTCATTATTGAATTTTTTACTTCCTTTCCTTCATTTCATTGGTTGGAAGGAGGAGGGAGGAAGGAAGTTATGATGGAAGGAAAAAATAAGGAAGAAAGAATGAAAAAATAAATAGGATGTGAGGAAAGGAAATAAAAAATTCAATGCTTTCCTTTATTTCTTTCCATCTTTCCTTCCTCCCTCCCCTTCCCTATCCTTTTTTCTTTCCTTTCTTTTTTCCTTATGTAGCTTCTTATAAAGAAAGGAAAGTGGTTAAGAAAGGAAGGAACAAAGGAAGGATAGAAAATAGAAGGGAAGGATGGAAGGATGAAAGGAAAAGAAAAGAAGAACTGGAAAGAACTGGTCCTACAGAGAAGAAAGGAAGGAAAGGAAACGAAGGAAAGGAAGGAAGGGGAGGGAGGAAAAGTAGGGAAAATTATAAAAAAAAGGATGGAAGAAAGAAAAGGAAAGATGGAAGATAGGACAGTAATGAAAAAGGGAAGCTAGAAAGGAGGAAGAAAGGAACAAGGAAAGGAGGGAAGGGAGTGAAGGAAAAACATTCAAATAAAATAAAGAAAGGAAGGCAAGGAAAGAAGTACGGAAGGAGGCGGAGGGAGGGAAGGAATAAAAAAATAAGAAGTAAGAAAAGATTGAAGAACGGAAAAAAAAAAAAAAGCATGGAAAGAAATAAGGAAGGAATGAAGGAAGGTCGGGGGTTTCTGGGTGTGTTCTAGGTTATGTTATTCTGCCAGCTGTGGCTGGGATAGTTGCTTGCTGTTTTACACTCTTCACAATTCATATCTCTAACATTCTTGAAACACTTATGTGAAACCTACCTAAGTGATTTCTTGTGAAGTGTTTGCATCCGATGCCTTTAATCAAAATGGTAAAGGGCATTAAGGGAAGGTTGGGGATCCATATTCAGGCAGTGAAAGAAGAGCGTTGAGGCATGGAAGGCCTGAGGAACTCAAAGAGTTGAAAGAGTAGAGTCTGTTGTCAGGTGTGTTGTCCAAAATGTTCTGCCAGTGCTGCAGTGCCTCCAAAAACCTAAAGGCCTGAAGGCCAAAGATGACATTTCATTTATATTTTAGAGGTCAAAAGAATCAGCATACCAGCAGTTGCTGCTGTTGGGGTTGTGGTTTGTGGCCAGTGTTTTTAGTTTAATGAAGATGCTGAGCTGAAGTTTAAGCTTCTCTTATCATTTTCCCAAAAAGTCCCAACATTATGATTTTACTTGTACTTTCAGTGCCACTAAAACCAATCAAGCATTTCAAAGGGAAAATGTTGTTTCATCAGTTCAATGCATTAAGGCATTTTTTTCAAGTGGTTTTTTTTTTAGGCTTCAGAGCATTTTTTTAGGCAGATATGCAAATTATTACAACCAATATTTCCAGGCTTTTTAATTTAGGATTTTGCCAATAGAGGTCCTCATTTCCAGATAGTTAAAGAACTGTTAACTCAGTTAAAGAACTGCATTCCTGCCAATTCACATGTCCAATTCACTGAATTCAAAGTGGCGTGATTTCAGCCCATTCAAATTTAAATTAGTGCATTTTGCAGCCTAGTGTTTACTAACTAACGGAACTAGCTATACTCTAAGTTTCTCCTTATGATGAGACTTCACTCACACATGTTCATGCCTGCATTTGATAAATGAAAAAGGTTCCTACAACTATTTTACAATTCGGTGGTAGGGAAGTTACTGGAAGTTATTGTGACTCGTAGTAAAATGTAGTCGCGCCTCCTTTGTTACAAAGAAGAGACCAGTTTCTCAATAAAGAGAAACTTAAAGAGTATAGGTATAGGTAAATGGAGTGTGGGAAATTCCACGACTCGTGTTGCGATCTGCGAATCTTAACGATAGGTTAAAAATGCCGTGCTTCAGCATACACCTGGATCCAAACCTGGTTTAGCTCTCTTTTGGAAGGGGAGGTCAATGAAGAAGTTAACTTTCCTAGTTTTTCCTAGATAAAGGAAGTGTAATTGCAATTATTTGCAATTTGAAAGGAAATTTTTGTTGTACAGAGTGATGTCGTCCCTTTGGATATATTATGATTTATTATGACCAGGGATTTATTATGATTGAACTTTAGACCAGAGATTGCTGTGGAGGTGTACCAGGTAATGAGGAACATTAAAAGAGCATCCGCGATTAAAGCGCTTCTGGGATATTCTTATGTTTATTGGCCAGATTGCCTCTATGAACCATTGGTTTAAAACCTTTTAGATTTTATGTAAAAGCAAAAAAAATGTGAAAAAGGACTCTAGGTGGCACATGTTGAGATTAACAAATATTTCTTAAAACAAGGCTGTGTTAAGTTTCCAAAATCGTTTTTTTATATACAAAATTTATACCCTCTCATTCCTTGCAGCCGTTCTGGTCCCAGGTCAAACCTTTGTCTTTTCAAGTTCCGTAGTGGTTGCGTAATTTATTGAGCAACTGTTGTTCTGGGAGCATAGATTAGGCTGCTCCCTTTTGCACCAAAAACATATTTAGTAAAGGTCAATCTTTTTCTTTTTCCTCAACAATTGGCGCTTGCCAGCAGCTTGTTATCTTTTCTTTACGGTTTTTTTTCTTTTCCTTTCCTTCCCTTCCTTTTTCTTTTCACGTTCCTTTCTTTCTTCTTTCCTTTTTTTTATTTTCATCCTTCATTCTTTACTTCCTTCCTTACATCCTTCATTTTTTCTTTCCTTAATTCCTCTCTTCATTCCTTACTTTCTCCCTTTCTCTCCTCCCTTTCTATCTTTTTTCCGTCCATTCGTCCCTCCTTTGCTATCTTTTCTTCCATTCTTCATTTCCTCCCTCCTTCCCCTCTATTCATTTATTTTTCTTACCTTTTCTTCCTAGCTGTAATGATCCACCTGGTGGTACCTCTGGCAACCCACCGGACAGGATTTCCCAGAGCGCGGAGTCTAAGTCCCGGTCGGCTTGTTCACCAGGGCCCCTGATGGTGGGGATGGACTTGGAGCAGACCAGGACCAGGTCGCGGCCTCTGAGTACACCCACCCGTGGTGGAGGGATCCGCCTGGAGATATCTACAAGATGAGAGCCTGATGTGAAGAGGCGGAAGGGCCCAAGCAGGATGGATGGATGCCTGGTCAGACAGGCCGGGTCGGTTACCGTAGGAGCAGCGCGGTACACAAGCGGCAGGCAGAGGATAGTCGGGTCACATGCAGGGTCAGTACCAGAAGATCAGATCCAATAGGGGGAATCCAAGAGAGAGGTCAGGCAAGCCAGGGGTCAGGGCAGGAGAATACAGCACAGTCAGGGGCAATCCGGGTCAGCAACGATCAAATATCCACGAATACAGGAGCAGGGAACACAGGACAGACCAAACGGCAACTAGTGTCAGTGCAGGGCGGATTTAAATACCGTGCCCCGCACTGTCATTGGTGCCAGGCGCGCACCCGCGGCCCCCAGTTCGCATGCACGAGTTAGTCTCTGCCGCAGTCGGCCAGGACCTAGCACCCGCAGCCCAGCGCGAGCTGGCAAACCGTGCATGCGCCGGACCGAACGCCGCAGCGGACCAGGACATTGCCCCCCTCTTACGGGCAACCTCCGGGTGCCCAACTGATCTCTTCACCGTGGGTGACTACGATAAAATTCCCGGATAAGCCTAGGGGCATGAACATTTTGGGTGGGTTCCCATGAGTTCTCCACAGGGCCATAACCCTTCCATTTGATCAGGAACTGTGTCTGGCCCCCCCTTTTTCGACAGTTCAGGATTGCTTCCACTTCATATTCTTCTTGTTCATCTGTGGTTATTGCTTCTGGATGTCAGGGCTCCGGGAATGACCAGAGGTGTGTGGACCGACACAGGGAAACACAGACTTCAGGTATAGCGTGTAAATAAGATAATTTATTAAGGACAACACAAACATAAACGCAGTGCAACAAACCAAACCCAAAGCTAACACAAATACATACAACAAGGTGAAACAAACCCAAACCTAAACTGATATATATATATATATGTATATATATATGGAGCACAACGTAGTCAGGCGGGCAGGGTCGGCAGACAAGGTACAAGGAGCGAGCAGAAGAGTGGTCAGGAATAGCCGAGGTCAGGACAGGCGGAGTTCGTTCAGAGTCAGGATCAAAGCAGAATCAGGATCAGGCAGGAAGCAGACAGGATGCAGGTACAGGGGCTCATGGGAAACACACACCAAGGCCCTGATCACAGGTCTGGTCCTGCTTAAATACACCTCCTGCAATCAGCCTCAGGTGATGGCCTGATTGCAGGAGTGAGATTCTGGTTGCTGAGAGCACCCGCTGGCCAGCCTTGGTACTGCAGCCCACAAGGCAGGTGAGTCCCACCACCAATGGCGAGTCCATTCCTGACAGTACCCCCCCTCAAGGAGTGGCCTCAGGACGCTCCAAACAGTCCTTAGTGGGCAAAATGTTCCACCGCCCGGGTCAGGTAACTGGCTGGATATCAGAGGCTAACACATCAGGCTGGGCAGTGGGCGGAGGCACATCAGGCTGGGCAGTGGGCGGAGGCACATCAGGCTGGGCAGCGGACAGAGGCACATCAGGCTGGGCAGCGGGCAGAGGCACATCAGGCTGGGCAGCGGGCAGAGGCACATCAGGCTGGGCAGCGGGCAGAGGCACATCACGCTGGGCAGCGGACAGAGGCACATCAGGCTGGGCAGCGGGCAGGGGCACATCAGGCTGGGCAGGGGGCAGAGGCACATCAGGCTGGGCAGTGGGCAGAGGCATCATGGGCAGGCAGAGGCACATCAGCAGGGCGGGCACCGGCCATCAGGCGAGGCAGCGGGCACCGGGCCATCAGGTGAGGCAGCGGGCACCGGGCCATCAGGTGAGGCAGCGGGCACCGAGTCATCTGGCATGACAGCAGGCACAAGTCATCTGGCAGAACAGCGGGCACGAGTCACCAAGCTCATCAGCGGGCACCGAGTCATCTGGCACGACAGCGGGCACTGAGTCATCTGGCACGACAGCGGGCACCGAGTCATCTGGCAGAACAGCGGGCACCGAGTCATCTGGCACGACAGCGGGCACGGAGTCATCTGGCACGACAGCGGGCACGGAGTCATCTGGCACGACAGCGGGCACCGAGTCATCTGGCCGGACAGCGGCACAGAGTCACCAAGCTCGACAGCGGGCACGGAGTCATCTGGCAGGACAGCGGGCACAGAGTCATCTGGCATGACAGCGGGCACCAAGTCATCTGGCACGACAGCGGGCACCGAGTCACCAAGCTCAACAGCGGACACCGGGTCATCAGGCTGGATCGGGTCATCAGGCCGGATCGGGTCATCAGGCCGGATGGGGTCATCAGGCTGTATCGGGCCATCAGGCTGGGTAGCGGGCACCAGATCATGAAGCTGGACAGGATCATCAGGCTGGTTCAGGTCATCAGGCTGGATCGGGTCATCAGGGCTGGGTAGCGTACACCAGATCATCAAGCTGGATCGGGTCATCAGGCCGGATCGGGTCATCAGGCCGGATCGGGTCATCAGGCTGGATCGGGTCATTAGGCTGGATCGGGCCATCGGGCTGGGTAGCGGGCACCAGATCATCAAGCTGGATAGGATCATCAGGCTGGGTAGGGTCATCAGGCTGGATCGGGTCATCAGGCTGGATCGGGTCATCAGGCTGGGTAGCGGGCACCAGATCATCAAGCTGGATAGGATCATCAGGCTGGGTAGGATCATCAGGCTGGATCGGGTCATCAGGCCGGATCGGGTCATCAGGCTGGATCGGGTCATCAGGCTGGGTAGCATCATCAGGCATCAGAGCATCAGGCTGAACAACGGATGGTGGGTTCACAGACGGCAGGCTGACCGATTTGGATACTGGTAGGATGTACTGGTTGGAAAGAATTTTTGCTTCTTTTTGGATTTAGTTACTGGGGCACTGCAAGTAAATGCAAGTCTGTAAATGGAGGGAGTAGCTGGAGACAGAGAAGAGCGGGAGGATGGAACAGAGGAGGGAATAGTTGCTACAGCGGCCTTTTTTACAAGGTTAAAGGCAAGATAGGTGCAGCAAGTGGGAACAGGGTACTGACATGTGGTAGATAACAGGGTATATTGGGCTGTCACTGGGGGTGCTGTCGGGAATGCAGGAGTAGAGCTTTGAGTAGAGGAATGATTGGAAGCAGGACTGGTTTGTTGCAAGCTGCCTGAGGCTGGGTGTAACAAGTTTGACCAGGACTGTAGTATTGGTTGAATAAAACTCAGCTTACACATAGCCTGTTTGACCAAAGACTGCACTGCGTTTATACAGTCCACTAGCACATGTGGTGAACATGCTGAATAATGCTCCCAGAAGCAATCCGGATCATTCTTCAACAACCATACCAGTGATTCTATTTGATCCATACTGAATGGTGCAAGAAAGTCATTCCTGCTTTCAGGGGTATTAGATGAAGCCAATTCAATACAAGCCTGAATCAATGGTTGCACCTCAGAGAACTCCGTGCCCTGATCTACTAGGGAATGCGCGACTCATATGCACTCTAGCAGCTGATCCCTGGCATACTCCTGCAAAGTCTGATAGGCATAATCTCTGTCATCTAAGACTAGCAGATACAAGTATATAACCTCCTCCGGATGCATCCTTTACAACAAGCCAAGATGGCTGCCCTGTGCAGCTACTTCTGGTCAGGATTGCCCTTGGTGTAATGTCAGGGCTCCGGGAATGACCAGAGGTGTGTGGACCGACACAGGGAAACACAGACTTCAGGTATAGCGTGTAAATAAGATAATTTATTAAGGACAACACAAACATAAACTGATATATATATATGTATATATATATATATATATATATATAGAGCACAACGTAGTCAGGCGGGCCGGGTCGGCAGACAAGGTACAAGGAGCGAGCAGAAGAGTGGTCAGGAATAGCCTAGGTCAGGACAGGCGGAGTTCGTTCAGAGTCAGGATCAAAGCAGGATCAGGCAGGAAGCAGACAGGATGCAGGTACAGGGGCTCATGGGAAACATACACCAAGGCCTTGATCACAGGCCTGGTCCTGCTTAAATACACCTCCTGCAATCAGCCTCAGGTGATGGCCTGATTGCAGGAGTGAGATTCTGGCTGCTGAGAGCACCCGCTGGCCAGCCTTGGTATTGCAGCCCACAAGGCAGGTGAGACCCACCACCATTGGCGAGTCCATTCCTGACACTGGAGTTCTAGACTCCCGATCTGGAAAGGGGTCTGGCGTAGCTGGCTTCAGTAGTGACACATGGAAGACTGGGTGGATCTTAAAGGTTTCCGGAAGAGTGAGTTCATACGCCACCTTGTTGATCATTCGCTTTACCCGGAATGGACCTACAAACTTCAGCCCCAGTTTTTTCGACGGGCAAGACATCTTCAAGTTTGTCGTTGCCAGCCAAACCTGATCCCCAGGTTGCAATATCAATTCTCCCCTTCTCTTCCTGTGGAAGGCTCTTTTGTTATCCTCTTGTGCTTTTGCAATAGCCTCCTGAAGTACCTTGTTGTTGGCAGCAAAGAAACTCAACGTGCTTTGAGTGACAGGAACTGAGCTTTCGGGCATCAAATCCATCAGAAACGTGGGATGGAACCCATAATTTGCAAGAAATGGAGATTGCCCTGTAGCTGAATGATTCGCGTTGTTATAGGCGAATTCCGCCAGTGGCAAGAGTGTCAGCCAATCATCCTACAGGAAGGATGTGTAGCATCTTAAATATTGTTCCAACGTTTGATTTGTCCTTTCTGTCTGCCCATTTGTCTGTGGGTGGTAAGCGGAAGAGAGGGACAATCTGATTCCTAATGCTTCACATATCGCCTTCCAGAATATCGAGGTAAATTGGACTCCCCGATCTGACACAATGTCTTCAGGAACTCCATGCAATCTTACCACTTCCTTTATAAAAATTTGCGTGGTTTCCAGGGCCGATGGCGTATTCTTCAGAGGTACGAAGTGGGCCATCTTTGATAGGCGATCCACAATTACGAAGATCGCAGTGTGGCCTTGCGACGGAGGAAGCTCAACTATAAAGTCCATGGCAATCATTTGCCATGATCGATCAGTATCGGCAGTGGGCGTAGCAAACCCCAGGCCTTGTTCCTGGAGGGTTTGTTCCTCTGGCAGGTGGCGCAGGTCTTGACATAGAGCTCACAATCCTTGATCATACTTGGCCACCAGAATGTGCGCTGAAGTAACTCCAAGGTTTTTGCTAAATGGCCTGCCATCAGGTGATCATGGCAGTGTCCCAGGACCAATGTTTGGACCTCTTCTGGTACTGCGATTAGGCCTTCTTTCCATAAGAGTCCTCCCTTGCTCTGGAGGGATACCCCAGGTGGGTCTGGCATTCCCATGGATGCATCATTTAGCCTGGAATGTAGCTCCGTCTGGAGAGCAAGAAAGTTCCCCGAGGACAAGATAGTGTCAGGCTTAGGGACTTCTTCAGGGTCTTCAAACATGCGCGAAAGGGCGTCGGGTTTTGTATTTTTGGAGCCTGGCCTGTACGTGATGTGGAAGGAAAACCGGGAGAAAAAGAGTGCCCATCTCGTTTGGCGTGGTCTCAAACATTTCGCTGTTCTCAAATACTCCAAGTTCTTGTGATCGGTGAAGATCAGGATTGGATGTGTGGCTCCTTCCAGCAGGTATCTCCACTCCTCTAGTGCGGTTTTAATGGCCAAAAGTTCCCGATCTCAAATGTCATAGTTTCTTTCTGCCGGTGTAAGTTTCCTCGAAAAGAATGCTACTGGGTGCAGGAGCTCCTTGGTGCCCTTCCTCTGGGACAGGACGGCCCCTACTGCGTTTTCTGAAGCGTCAACTTCTAAGACATAAGGCAAGGATGAATCAGGGTGACTGAGAATGGGAGCGGTGGTGAACAGCTTCTTCAGGGTTTCAAAGGTTATTTGAGCCTCGGGCGTCCATTTAAAATGGACTCCCTGTTTGGTCAACTGAGTAATGGGGAAAACCAGACCAGAGAAGTTCCTGATAAATTTTCTATAAAAATTTGAAAACCCAATAAAGCGTTGTACGCCCTTCTTATCCATGGGTATTGGCCAATCCAAAATTGCCGAGACCTTCTGAGGATCCATCGCAACCCCCGTGGTGGAGATGATCAGCCCCAAAAACGCAATACTGTGCTGTTCAAAGCTGCACTTGTCAGCCTTGGCATACAGACCGTGTTGTCGTAATCGTTCTAACACACTTGTCACATGACCCCTATGAGCTTCGAGTGAAGAAGAGAAGATTAATATGTCATCTAAATAGATGACCACGAAAACATCAAGATAGTCATGAAATACATCGTTGATGAAGTGTTGGAACGTGGCTGGGGCGTTGCAGAGTCCGAAGGGCATGACGGGGGAATCGTCTGAATTAGGTTAGAATCCCCGTCTGCGCATAGGAGGAACTGGGGAGCCACGGGGCCCGAGGAGTGGCAGTGTTCCTGACAATACTGGGATTGAAACTGAATAGACCCAGTCTCCCAATCAATCTGGGGGTTATGGGCCTGCAACCAAGGAAGCCCCAGAATGATTGGGAAAAGAGGGGAGGCTATAGCGTCCAGTTGTAGGAACTCTCGATGATGGCCAGCTACTGTAGTGTAGCTAGGAGGAGTCTCCTGGTCCACCACTCCTGACTTAATACATGACCCGTCGACCAAAAAGATATTAAGGCCCCGTTCCTTAGTCTGGAGGGGGATTCTCTGTTGATTGGCAAAAGTTAAATCCACAAAGCACCTGCATGCTCCGGAATCAATTATTGCCGTCACTGACACGGTTCTTCCTGGGAGCTGAAAGGAAACAGGTATAGCTAAGTAACTGGACTGGTTTGGACTTTCAGCAGATATAGAAGAAATAGAGGCAGAGTTACTCATTTTTGCCAGGCAGGAATGCACCATATGACCGGCTTCTCCACAATACAGGCATAGGTTCTGGGACCGCCTCCTCTGGCGTTCTTCGGCTGATAACGATGGCCGAGCCAGTCCCAGCTGCATGGGTTCAGAGGTGTCCACAGGCTCTGAGCTCTGGTTCCCTCCCAGCAGAGGCTGGGC